CTGAGTCTTGTTCAGGGAGAGCTGAGGTAGGCTGATTGGTACTAAACAGAAAAAATGAAGATAATAATAGGATCTTCCAGCATTTGGATCAGAAGCAAACTTCAGGGCCTGGTGACATCTTCCCTGACCATCTTCCCTCCTGTCTCAAATGCTCCACCATCCTCTTGCCTCTCAAGCAATGCCCCATTACAGGGTTAATTGACTTCAGAACTGTTGCTCTGATATCTCTGGTCATGAAATCCTTTAAGCATTTGGTGCTGAAACATTTGAAGTAAATTCCAGGCTGGACCCCCTGCAATTTGCCTACCAGCCAAACAAGTTGGCGGAGGATACAGTCAAAGTACATATCATCCTGCACCACCTCAACAATCCAGAGAAACATAGCAGGATCATATTTGTAAACTTAAGCTTAGGCCTCAGCATCATCAACCCAGCATCCTCCATCAGACGCTTACCAAGATCTCAGGGTTATAATTAATCTGTTGGTCACCAGTTTTCTGATTGATCTTCAGCAATGAATGAGTCTGAGAGCATCTCTCCTTCTCAAACACCAACATCACTGGAGCTCCACAGGTGTGTGTTCCATACATAAATGATTTAGCCTCAGCTGACCTGAGTATGAAGCTCCTGAAGTTTGCAGATGGCACCACAAAACATTGACATAAACAATAAATCTACGTATAGACAAGATATGGACCAAATGGACCACCCAATGTCTCAGAACTACCTTCAGTTAAACTCACTAGTGACAGTGGGGAGGAGGGCATAATGTAGTCTGTTTTGCATTAATCAACCTAGCTGTGGTTTGGAATTAGTCGAAACTGCAACAATTAGGTCTATAGAAAGAATCAATAGTGCTTATCCTCCCTCTCTTCAAGACCCATAGTCTTCTAGGGCCAGAAAAAGGCCAAGTAACACCTTTAAACTCCAAACCTCCTGTTCAGAAGGTGTTAGCCTTTTACCCTAGCACCTGGGAGATGTAGAGTCAAAAAGTCATTTCCATGTCATATATTTGTTCTGCCCAGCCACTAAACCAGGTGAGTTCAATCTTTAATTCAGTGGACTTACTTGGTTCAGTGGCTTCTTCAGTGGTTTCTTATACTAAAAAGTATTATAGGTTTGTAGACACATAAACCTGTGCATACTGCCCCTGACATTGTTTTATCACTTTTAAGTGTTTTTTACAAACCTGGGTGTGATTTATGATTAAAGTAACAATTACATTTAAATTAAATCAGTTTATTTATATAGCACCAGATCACAACACAAATCACCCAGAAAACCAGTTGATTTTATCCAGTCATTGACTTTAAGGACATGCTCTACTTGGATGAGCTTGCAGCGATGGTTTTTGTTTGTACTTTTCATCGTTGATATTTCAGGAATTCCTCACGTTGAACTTTCATGTAGTGACAGTGGAGACAGAAAATAAAGATACATTTCTTTTTTGTCCATACACTCTTGGTCATTGAAGTTTATTCAGATTCTTTTTTGCCACATTGTTTTTAGAATACATTATAAAACTTAGCAAACCTGTAAATCAATTACCGGTATATGGGCTTTTGTTGTAAAACTGCAAGGTGGCGATGGCTTAGCTGAATATGATAAATGCAAAGTTATGTATTTGATGTGCAAAGTGGTCAAGTTAGGCATAGTTTTTATATATTCATAAGCTAGATACTGGAAAGGTTTTGGGATGTATCAAATATATATCAATAGGCTTTACAGGTACACATACTCCACCTTGGCTGTGTAAGGGTCTGAGGGAATTATCCAACAATAAGGGGTTTTGATTATCCAGAAGGTTATTAATTAAACTTGGTCAGTATCTGAATATTAAGTTAATTTTATGATATGATGTGCTGCAACAATTTGTCCCCTGCAAAGCAGCAATTTATACATCTGGAAAAACTTTGTCTTTTACAATGAGACATATAATGTGCCCAAACGAGCATAAAAACTGTGCTGGGAGATTAACATTAACGGGAGATGAATGTTGTTATGTGCATTATAACAAGACGCTCGTCCTGCAAGCATAACCTTTGGATTTTTTTTTCAGTTCTACATGCTTCATTTTAAAACTGGAGATAGGGTATCTGAAAAGAGACTTAACAGTGGGAAATAATTGACTTTTGAGAGGTGTTCTGTGAGGCAGTGTGTGCCTTACAAAAGCTGGAGGAAATGATGTTCTCTGTGTGTACAAGCAGGGACAATTTGTAACAGAACAATACATGGTTATAAAGAGAGGAAGAGGAGGAGAGAAATTGCATAAGAGGGACTATAATTAATCTACATTGATCAGTTTTAGGTATCATTTGTTGGGGGTTTTGAACTTCTTTTAGACTTTTCTTGAAGTGTGGTATTTTATGTATTGAGTGAGCCTCACCTGTCAGTCCTCAAAGGGCAGACTAGTCTCACCTATCTTATGTTTGATTCTATTGTACATCCAATAATCTCCCTGTCCGTCTGCGTATTCTAAAGACCTTTTTCAGTTCCTACCAGACCATCCTACATTGGTCCCAGGTTAAGAGGAATGTAGGCTTTGGGTGTTCCCAGCGTCTTCTCATGACTTGTCGAGGAAACCACATAAGGGAGATCAGCATAAGGAATTCTAATGTGATGCCCCAATCCCTTCGGCTACATGCCTGTCAGTGTTCTGCACAGATGTGATTCTGACAAACATATAGCCTGCATTCTGGGGATGCAGGAGGTATGCACAATGCATAAAATCTGTTTTTTACGTTTCCCCCATAATGTTATCTTTAACCAGGAAGACAAATTTATTTCAGCTAACCTATTTTTTAGCCAAGTAAATATTTTGAATTCCACGAGTGTATACAGTGGAAATGCTGCTGGCTCATCACACAGCCCCAATTGTCATCATTTTATCACTCCCTCGACTCGTCAAGCTGAATTGCCATATAGAGAGTTCCCACATGACATCACCCTCCCTCTGTGCCTCCATTGTGAACGTACAATGGAACTGGAAGCAGCTTTGCAATTCACTGATTGCACATGGAAGAACCACAATGGATGAATATTAATGGTTTCGAAGATGTAAAACAAAAAAAAAAAAACAGTAAAACATTAAAGAGGAGTAATTACATTCTGAAAATTAGAGGAAGTGAATTTGAGCAAACTTTTCTACTAAGCATGAAGCTTCCAAGATTGTGGTATGGATTTGCTCTCATCACTTTGTTGCTGGTAAAAGAAAACAAAATCAGTTTCAAAAACATACATAGAGCATTAGGAAGGTAAAGCTAAATCCAGGTAAATTATGGAAAGTAGAACAAAGCAGCTAGCTATCACAGCTAAATGTACACATTTCTGTCACATGATCATAAAAAACCTTCATGTAATTTGAAATTTACATGAAATCCAATTTTGACAAATGGAGAGACAAACAAATGAAGATCATACAAGCAAATAAGTGTTTTATATGGAAAAATAACACTGTTTACTTACCTAACATTTTGAATTTATACATCTATGGATCTCTGCCAGCAACAGCTGCCGCTCATAAAGCTGTTCCTGGGTAACGCTGTTTACCAGTAAACTATCAACCTGGCGAATTTCCAGAATCACTTATTTGCTGTCTGATCTTGTGAGAGCTGTCCTAAGAAGTCAGCCAATATGAGCCTGTAACTATTTTACTTTGCAAATGTGGTGAGGTATACAAAAGGACTCGGAGAGGATTCCATATTCAGACTCCTGGGGAAACTCATGCACATTGATCAGTCCGCCAAACGGATATCCCCTTGGCCAAATAGCCAAGACACATCATGAGTCGGAGGCAAAGTGTCAGGACCCCACATTGTCACACAAGCAATAAATGGAGAGACCTATGATTGACTTTAATAATTACAGAGAGGTGTGGGAATAAAAAGGAAGAAAAAAAACCTAGCTGCCAATAAAGGTTTATAACGTAATAAGGTGTGTTAGACGTAAATACCAAATAGCCTCTCTTTGGAAAAAGAGATACAAAACATGAAAAATGTCAACACTAATAATTTTACAAAAGTAAAGTTAAACACAGAACATAACTTTAAGATACTACTGCAGAGTCCGTTCAACTCTTTCCTTATAAAACCTTTAGTACTTATTACACCCTTTAGTTGGTATGACAGGTTGACATAGTGATTCATAACCAGACTCAAATGTTTGGCTGATTTTCTAAACCTATTATTGATGGAAATATGAAATATTTAATATGAAAACGTTAGGGATCATCTTAGGTCTATCTGCAGAAACCACCTATTTTTAAATCCTAACATTGATTTTTAAGAGATCAACTTAGGGAACCCACTACCCCGTTAGTATCTTTAAGCCTGAATAAATTTTATCGGTGTCCTCTTTTAAGATAAAATTCATTTAAAGATGACAGTACATTTTTTTATTGATTTTCTTGATGAGCTCTTGCTCTTATCTTGTTCAGAGTCTTAAAATCTGTTAGGTTGGTTAGAGGACAGGTGCGTCAAAGGTTTCATGGTCGTCAATTGTTCAGCATTGTGAGAGGAGCAGGCATGCATCTTCATCTTTAGAATTTAGAGGCTGTTGTTTCAAATCATTGAAGATGACCAGGGTCCACCTGATGGAAACAGCAGGTGGACAGGCCCTAGCCAGGTTTCTGTGAAATCCCCACAGTCCAAAGTACTTTTAAAGCAAATGATTATTGAAAACTTTAACAACCTAACAACGTGAACAGGAAGGGATACCTTGGTGTGGGGTGTAGCTCTTTATTTAACCATTCCTGGGTTCTATTTTTTAAACAGTTCACCAGATTTCAGAGCATGGAGCTCGGCCTGATCAAACCTTTCAAATCTTGTTCGTGAAAAAACATTAAAAGTGTTTTACTTATTGAAATACAAACAGCAATGCAAGCCTGCCAACATATATTACAGTTTCATATACAAATATATAAATGTACAATCAATAAATACAGTACAAAGCTTTCTTCTTGAGATGTTTGGTGGACAACATATTGGCCAGTCCATCAAATATTTTAAAGGCTTGGTTGGTGTTTTATTTCAAGATCAATTTCTGGTCAGCAGGATGAGGTGGAACAATATATCTGGAGGGGTTCGCAAAATACCAGATTTAAAGAATGCAAATCCCTAATGGAGAGCAGTCTGACCAATCTTGAGATCAATCTAAGAAAAACAAGACTTCAAGAGATTAGGTGTGAACAGGTGGCTCATGTTAAAAAACGAAGGATTGCTGATGCTGATTACAGTATTTACAAGGAATGATGTGATTGACTTCAGTAGATAGCAAATGTTTCTTTGGTCCCTGTCGTTTGTTGGTATATAGTGGTTAAAAAAACACAAACTGGGCACAAAACTATTGATTAAACTAAAGCAAACACAGAAATGTGCCATGATCATGCCTATCACTATGAATCATTTACATGTTATCAATAATCCAAGTTCACATAGGCAAAGGAAACATATCATTTCAGGGTTCTGAAATACAACACAGTCGTTAAAGCAGTACATACAGAATACATGAGCATAAACAATGATTACAATTCAGCCAAAGCTACGTAAAGTGGAGAGTTGTTCAAAGAAATTTCAATCATCATAAAGGAAGCCAGTAACATATTTGCAGCTGCAGAACTTGAAAAGAGACCCAGGAAGTCAGGAGAACACTGATTACATAAACCGTGAATGAGGTTGGGTTGGTTTCATTGGAAGCTCAGGAGGGGGGAAATAGGAAGAAAGGAGCATTCATTAAGCGTCCAGGTTTCTGCAAAGGATTCCCCAGTGTTTCTGTGTGCTGTCCATCTTTGGCTACGCAACTAGAGATGGATGATTCAATTCACCTGGTGGGTAAATTCATAAAGTTTCTTCAAGCTTCGTTCTGGTTGAACAGACTACCCTGTGTCTTGAGTCTGTGCATCCTGTTGATAAAAAAAAATATTAAATCAGACACAATACTAACACTGGTTTATTGGGACTCGATCTGCTGAGAGATCAATGAAAGTAACTACCTTCTTTCTTTACGGCTCAGATTGTCTTCTTTCGACTTGACAAAGACTGCATTTTCCCCTCCCCTGACGAGGTAAGCAAACTCTCCTTCCTTCGCATTGAAGATAACCCTGTTATCACACAGAAAAAAAGATTTTAAGTCATCAGGCTTTCATGTTAGCAAGACTTTGTGTTGTAATGCAATGACCGAACACTCACTTGGACTGAGTCTCCCCACACTTGATGCGGAGCTTTCGGAGGTGAAACTTGCTGCTGCCCCAAAAGTCAGACCAGCTGAAGAATGCATCCTTCTCCCATCGGATCTTGACAATCATCAGGTCACCAATGTCCACGTCGGTGGTTATCAGGAAGGACAAGGTGGTGTTACCATCCAGGGTGGGGCTAAAGGGTCAATGGAGGTTTAAAATGTTTAGTTTGCTACATTATATTGCTGTTATTGGTCATAAAGATGCACTAAGAAAATAGCTGCTGATCAAATAAGCAATAATGCCTAAAAGATAACAGCTTTCCAATAATAAGGGGAAGCTCTTTGTTTTTTGGGATGAGCTGAGCTAAACAATCTTTGATGTTAAAGTTTTGACTAAGGTAAAAACACTTAAAGGTTTTGGAGATCTCACAATAATGGTAAAGATATACCTTCACTAAAGGGAAATAAAAGGCACTGCTAATTGCAGGATAATCCTAACAACTGTACCAATACAAGTTCATGAAGACAACTTGAACCTCTGTAATCCTTTGTATTAAAACATTTGTGAAATCCTTTTTACTCCGGAGCTAATAACCTGCTCTCTAAAACACACAGTATAACATTCCCTCTGGTCCTGGTGTAAATTATTAGCAATTTACCACAGAAATACATATAAAGTTCCAACACATGAACAAATGATTTGGCTACACAGATTAATAACAGTATATCAGCTGTTTTTCCCTCTAAAAATAAATTAGCCAAAGCTTTTTTTATTTTGTATGGACATGGAGAAAATATTATTATACTATAATATTTTGATTTTTTTCCAAGCCAAAAATAAACATTAGCAAGCTATAATCTGCTCTTTTAAATTAATGAATGTGATGTGTTCATTTGTTTTGCTTTTAATTCTGGTTTTAATAATACATCAGATTTTAATGTATGTTTAGATTTTTAGTGAAACAATAAAAATGCTTTGTAACTCATTGTTGTTTTCGAGATTTTTTTAAGTATTATTTTTAGGTTGCACATTTTATTGTAGGAACAGTAAAGCTTTCATTTTATAAAAAGAAAGACGGAGGAAAAATTATTCGCTGTTCTTGAAACAAATTGGCTACAATACAAAACAGCAGTTAAAACCCTAAATATGACCTCAAATCCTCGAGTCAGACCATATATATGCTGACAACCTTCATTTCTGTTAAGCTGAACATTTTTGAGACTGTGTTTCATGAATTGGGGGGGTCTAACATACGTACAGGACAATAGGGATGTCCTCCTTCTCTCCGTGGGTTCCATACAGTGAAATCTTCATTGGCTGCTCAGTGAAGCTCTGTTTGTCTTTGCTGAAGAGGTGCGCCTTTACTTGGTAATGGAAAACTGCAAGATGGGGAGAAGATTCACTGTCAGTGAATTGTCAGAAAATCCCTTAGGCTTTATTCAGTTTAATTTGAACTTTAAACATAACTAACATATTCTTGGTTGGTAGAATATCAAATATAAAATGTTCAGACTTTCTACTTATCTTTAAAATGAATTAAAATTTAGGTATATTACCCATTTATGACAGCGTTGATATCGATTGATGATAGCATACATAGTCTTAATGGAAATAAGAGTTTCCCAAAGGTTGCTAGGTCCACATTAAATATGTTATAGCTGGCACTGAGGGAATGCTGATGCTATCTTGGCTGTGTACGTAATACAAGGGATTTGCTGCACATTTACAACAATGGGCATCAAGGGGTTAATGAAGACATGTACATGATTTAATTCCCAGTAATGCACTAAAGTACATAACTCCAGGTAGATTTTTCTACTTTTCTAAATGTTAAATGCATTTCCCTTCTTGCTTTTTAGGTAATTTCCCTCTCCACACAAAAAAGAGCCATGTTTTGTTTGTTTCACATCATTTCTGTTGGTATTTACCTTTGTAAGGCATCATATCACGGGTTTTGAGGTACATGGTGGCACTGCGGGCTGTGCGAACCTTGTTGATGTTGTAGCCAAGCTTATTGCAGCGGTTCTTTCTGCAGCTGAGGCACATCCCCTTGTTAAAGGTGTCCTTGGAGTTGCAGCGGTAGGCCATGCTCTGCTGCTGAGTGTTCAGCAGCGAGTCAATGAACAAGTGGATGGAGCGCTCATGGGAGCATTTGACAAGCTGATCCATATCTGCAAACAAAATTACAAAGAAAGCCTGAGTTTGTTTTCTCCTTTTTCATTCACATATTGTTACAGAAACCTAGAAGGCCTCCACAGCTAGGTTCTACTTTTGTAAAGCATCAACCAGCAGACTACAAAGAAAAACGGTTGTCTCTGTGGCACTATCTTTGCAAGTCTGTTCACTATGCAATATATTTTTTAAACTTAAAAAGATGCGCAGTCAGGTATATTTTTACCCATTAGAAATACGGTTTTAACAAGAAATCTCAACAGAGGGTTTGAGTTTCATACTTTGGAGACCCTTGATTCCTTCTGATGCAATCCCCAGTAAGGTGTTCTGGATGTCGCAACCCGGCTGGAAGGTTCCTCCATTAGGGTAGATGTCAATATGACCCACAGGTCTCTGGATGCCAATACTGCGGTCTGGAGAGCCCCTTGTATTGGTGTGCAGGACGTCCACAAACTGGGCATCACCTCGGGACAAAGTGCTCTGTTCATCTGCATTCTCGAAGGTTGGACCAGCGGGATCCAGACCTGGAAAGGGAGCAAAAAACGATTTATTATGAATATAATAGGAGATAAAATCCTAGAGCTTGGTTCACTTATGTCACAAAGTATTAATCAAAGCTTGGAAGTTTGTGCCCAGTCTGGCCTCTTCCCGCCTTGAACAAGTAGGAAAAAAAGTATATAATGAAAAGGCTGAAGGTGCTTAATGGCCCCCTGCCCTAAGATTCAGTAAATACGCCATTATTTGGAGCAGGTCAGGGAGATTTCAAAGGTGGATCAACTTCATAGAGGCAAATGGGAGCTTTAAATCTGACACAAATTGGCTGTATCCACACATAAAATGGAGGCCTGGAATGTAGGGGCTGACAGATTAGGTTTCCTTTGTGTAATGTGCAAAGAACAGCAATAATACATTCCACTATGGTATGTAGACCTAAGCTTATGGTGTGAATTTAATACCAAGCAGTATTTGTAAAAGTTTACTGCTGAAATTTATTGGAATTTTCAAAAGAAGATAACAAATTCTAGGTTTCTACTTGTCAAAGTTCTGTAAATGTTCAAATCTTCTCCCCCCTTTAGCAATATTTCTTATATAAATAAAATAAATTCAATATTGGTCATAAACTATTCCTAGGGACCTTTCTATGGATGGATGGATGGCTGGATGGATGGATGGATGGCTGGATGGATGGATGGATGGCTGGATGGATGGATGGATGGATGGATGGATGGATGGATGGATGGATGGATGGATGGATGGATGGATGGATGGATGGATGGATGGATGGATGGATGGNGATGAAGCTGCTTTTACTGCAGGGCGATGGATGGATGGATGGATGGATGGATGGATGGATGGATGGATGGATGGATGGATGGATGGATGGATGGATGGATGGATGGATGGATGGAGAACCTGATAATGTTTGAACATTAGTCACCTGTGATCCTGCTGATCTTGTGGTCAGTGAGGTCTCCAGCAATGCCAGCTACATGCGCTCCCAGGCTGTATCCCAGCAGATGAATCCTCTCCCAGGGCAGCTGCAGCTCTTTCTATGAGGCAACAAACAGGTGAGATGTGAACAAAGAGCTTATGAGCTCCTCAGTATGATTTAAGCGGAAGGCTGCAGAAATGCAGGCTGTACTTGGCAAAGCTCTGAAGCATTTTGCCCCAGGAAGAATCTGGGATAGAGGCCAAAGTAAGGATTTGGGGCAATTACATGCTATGCAAATTCTAGGCAGCTTTTGAAGTTTGTAGTTATTTAAATAAAGGAGAAACATTAAGCCGTTGCAATGTTTGTGCTCTGTTAACACTGAGCTTCTCAATGAGAGCTGCACACATGCCTATAAAAAGTGTTTATAGCCTTTAAAAATCTAAACTGTGGACAAGCATAACCACATGGTCTCCTTGTGGACAAAGAATTACAACATACATACCATATTTAAGTCAATGATTTATGCTCTCAACCAACATATTTACATGTTGTATTTACAGCAGGCTAGAGCTCGTGCATATAGCGTGATCCAACTGCTCACCTGAAGCCATGTGACGAATTTGGCCACATCACGGCCAACCAGCTTGGTGGAGGCTGCAGAGGTTGGGTAGTGCTGGCTGGCACGTGTCAGCCAGTCCACCACAATTACATTGGCAGTTGGCACACGGTCATACAAGGCAGACACCAGCTTGGGCACCCAGCTCTCAAACATTCCTGTTACCTGCAGGGACAAGAATAAAAACAAAAGGTGAAATAGAGGCCTATGTAAATGAAAAGAACACACCCTCAACGCATGAGCAAATAGTCATGTTGTTATTGGTAAAACCATTTAAAGAAGCGTAAATCATATTGACAAAGTTCTATTTGTGGAGCCAAACTTAAAAATTGCATGCATCAATTTCTCAACATTAGTTTAATAAATTGACTGATCTAGGTTTCATTCAGCTTTAAGTAAAATGATTGCAATGTATAAGTGTCAGCATGATCTTAATGTTTCAATTTAAATCTAAAAAAAGGCAATTTATTAAGCTCTAACATAGCATATTATAGTTATAATATTGTTATCACACTTCTGTATGCAAAACACTCAGTGTTTGACAGAGAAGCGTTTGTCTTTCCACTCCTTAAATACACCACAGATATAATAATCGGGTGTCAGCTGCTTAATTTGTAAAGATATCTACTCCAGTAGCCATGCTGAAATCAACCAGCGAATAGATACACTAACTTCAGCTTCCAGTGCTCCCTAACCTGCTATGGCTGCCGGAGTTTTCTGGGACTTTAAACATTTCAAAAGTTGTCCTGCAGCAAGCTGACGGCAAAAGGTTAATAAAGTGACTTATGTCAAACACATTTTTGGGGTATTTTCACAGAAGCTTAACTTTTGCAGCATTTCAGCTTCCTATGTGGGTTACGATCCACACATGGTCAGGTCAGTGTCTGAGGTCAGCTGCCATATGGCGTGATTCATTCAGCTCTGCCTCTATTCTGTTGTTGGAGACTGGCCAAGGTATCATCAGGTTCAAATTGTGCAGCATGACTGCTTTTAAATCACATTAGGAGCATAAATGCATGTGTCTTTTCTGCCATTTTTGCCTGCATTTCATGTTTTTACAACCCTGTATTTAGTTGTGTTTTTTTTTTTTTGTGGTATTTTTGATGCAATTTTGTGTTTTACTGCTACTTATAAAATATCTTAAGCTTTGTATGCAAACAAAAAAGTGCTTTTATTGTTACTAACCGTCCAGCCGTGTATCACAATGAAGGTCTGGCTTTCTGCATTGAATTCACACTCAGTGATTGTTTCTGGTCTGCCGGCCACCATGTAGCACATATCATCATCTGGGAGCTCGGCGGTGCGCAGGGAAAACTTGGACAAGATGTCAGTGTAATCCATCATCCATTCAGTGGTGGTTGGCACAGGCGCATCGGTGGCTGTGATGTTTCCTGCTGCAACACAAACGCAAACAGAGAGCGCAGCGGGTCATTTGGTTGAACCGTTCTCTCAAGTTGGATTATTGAACTTTAAATCATTCACAGGGATCTTGGAGCGGTTCCAAATCTGATTTACTTGGTTGTTATCACAGAAATTATGTGCGCTTACGCTGATTGTCAACATCACATTTTTTACGCATAAGTGGCATTTCATCTTTGCGCTCAGGTTCATAAGGCATGGTAGTGTCGCCCCCTTTAGTCTTTACCTTTCGAGGACGTGCATATAAAGTGATTCTAACAGAAAATCATAATTGTGTTAAAATTTTATTAAAAAACAGAATTTTAAAGAGTCAGTGGTAAAAGTTCAAATAAAAAAGGCTGATCCAACAGAAGTTCATTATGCAAACAGACCCTTAAATTGGGTTAAAAGTGTGTGGTTTTCCTTTATCTAAATTAACCATATCCCATAAATATATCCTTTTTTAATTTTTTATTAAACCCAAACAAAGTTTTCTCCCTCTGCTTATCTATCCTGAGACACAAAAGTATGTGCCGGCTGTTTTTCTTCATGCACACATGGAGCTGAGCGCAGTGAAACGGTGCGCAGACCTGCGCTCTTTTTAAAAAGGGGTTATTACCGGTCAAAAGCGGGGGAAAGCATGTAGTAATTAACTCGCTATCCACAAATTCAACCTTTAGATCTGCATTTCTTCTATTTTCATCCAAAAATATACATCATATTCAAAGTAAAGGGGCTCTTACCAAAGACAGTTGAGTTGCTGGTGGTTTCAAGATCTGAAGAAAAAGTTGCAAGGATGTTTCCCAAAGTTATCCAAATGGTTAAAAAGCAAATCGTTTCTTTTCCCATCTTTATACCGAGTTGGGTCGTTTTATAATCTTGTTGTCCTGGTTTTAATGTTATTTTTGGGTTGGTCGAATAGTTGTAGAGCCACTTAAACCCAAAGCACCGGTGACAAAGTGGTGTGCTGTTTGTGGTTTAAGGGTGAAGTTGCTTATGGTCTCCGGCGGTTGGTGTAGCAGGTCATCTTAATGGGTGGCTTATTTGAATACTCAACCGTGATTGGATCTAGATTAAGGGGCGGGGACTAAACTTTGTCCCAGCTCTGGAAAAAAAAACAAAAACCTAAGAGGTTGGTCATGCTGCTGTGAGGAAAGCGGGGCCCCTGGCTCCACAACAGAAGGTTTCAGTTACAGACTGTCATTAGTGTCACCTCCTAACTCACAGTGTGTCTGATATTTGCCATTGCATGAGTTTCCTATGATCTGGTACCAAAATCTATTTTGAAATAGGTATTCCTAGAATATAGTATGGTTTTGCAAGACAACCAAATAAAGAATCTTATAAGCAAGAAAGGGGTAGAAAACATCATAGCAAGATACATCTTTTTATGATACTTGAAGGAGACATTTCCCTTTTTAGGGCTGCGTGATGGACAGTTATGCTTTACAGCAAAAAGACCTTGGGTTTAAACCCTGGCCTGGGTCTTTCTGTGAGGTTTGCATACTTTATTTTTTCCCAAATCTCTAGTGTCAGCCACAGACATGACTGTTCTCTGGTCTCTCAAAGTCAGCCTCAGTATGTGTATCTGTGTTTTTTCCCTGTGATGGACTAGTGACCTGTCCAACGTCTACCCCCCACAATGACTGCTGGAGATAGGCACCCAAGACCCTGCACAGATAAGTGAGTTTAGACAAGGCATGGATTTTCTTTTTCTTTTTTTTTTATATAAAATTATCTAACTTGCACAAATGTATCCAAAAGACAGTTAAATACCTATTAAAGAATATAAACAGTTTTGTTTCAAATGCTTGGAAAGAAATCGTGATAACTCTTGATCTTTTTTACATTTTGTCATTTTTCAAACAAAAGTGTGAGTGTAAATTATTTGGGCTTTATGTGAAACACCAGCAAAACATAGTTTAAGGGAAAGGATGCAGTTTTTTTTTCATCCGTCCAACCATTTTCTGTCACGCTTATCCCTTCTGGGGTTGCGAGGGGTGCTGGTGTCTATCTCCAGCTGTCTATGGGCGAGAGGCGGGGTAGACCCTGGAGAGGTTGCCAGTCCCTCACAGGGCAAACAACCATTGATGCATACATTCACACCTAAGGAGAATTTAGAGCAGCCAATTAACCTAACAGTCATTTTTTTGGACTTTGACAGGAAGCCGGTGTACCCAGAGAGAACCCACACATATACAGGGTGAAAACGCAAACTCCATGCAAAAAAAGCCCCAGGGCTGGGAATTTGTCCCCAAACCTTCTTGCTGCAAGGCTGCTACCCACTGCTCAACTGTGCAGCCAGTTGTGTTTTTTTTACAAATGAGAATATAAAAAGTTTAGCCATGTATTGTTTACAAGAATTATCCTGATACCCTTAAGAAAAATAGAAAATAATACCGATATAACAAAGTCCATCTTCGAGTGATTAAACATCTGTATGAATCCAGATATTCCCATGGGGGCAAAACAAACAACATTATGAGGATCGAAGAATTTAAAGAAATTAAAATACCACTTCGTATCAACACAGCTAGACCACCAAATCTGACAAGACGAGCAAGATACACCTAAAAAGTTCATGTTAACCGGAGGAGCAGCTGACATCGACAACTACATAACAGCTTATAGTTTTTCACTGTAAATGCGGAGTTTTATGGTAAACCTGCCATGAGAAACCTGCTGTTAAAAGAATGCCTAAGCAAGTATCCTTCACATCTGATTCTAAGGAATATTATATTATATACTATACTGAGATGGCCATGGACTTTAGAAAGAGCAAAGCCCCACCCTTTCTAGTCACTGCTGCGGACTTCTTCCAATTCCTGGGCGTCATCATCACTCAGCACCTTAAGTGGAACCTGAACCTCATCTCTCTTATCAGGAAAGCAAAGCAGAGGATTTACACACTGTGGCAGCAGAAGAAAGGCAAAGACAATGATGGTGTAATTGTATTTCCACATCACTGAACCCATTTTCTTCTTCTCCATCATCATCTGGTGCATTGCTGCCACCGCCCAGGACAAGACCAGCCTGCAGGGTAACGTTCGCTCTGCAGAGACCGTGCAAACTTCCTTATCTTCAGGAAATACACCTTTCCAGGATTTAAAGCCGAGCAGGTATGATTGCAGCAGACTGTGCCACTGGTGCCATAAACTATTTTTGACTCTTTGCAGCAGATCAGGATGAAAAAAAAAGTCCTGCCACAAAAACAGCTTCTTCCCATCTGCAGATAGTCTCATAAACAAGCCCAAAGTCCCTCACTGACAGTTTCCCCTTGCACATTATGCCGCTTTGCTTTCTCTGTTAAAAAAGTTGCTCTATTTTTCTCTATTCTCTTATTATTCCTATGCAACTTGGATTCGTTTGAACACATTCCATCCATCCATCCATTTTCTTACACGCTTGTCCCGAGTGGGGTCGCGAGGGGTGCTGGTGCCTATCTCCAGCAGTCTGAACACATTCCATATTTCTGAATTGATTAATGTCAGTTGAATGTTTGTCTTTGTGTGCACTACCTATTTCTGATTCCGAATACATTTTATAAAAATGTATGTTGCACAGCAGCCTTTAAAAACCCGGACGGAATGACCTTCGATAGGCCTGTGGCTATAATTGAAGCACATGCAGTACACTTTAGACAAAAAAAAAAGATAGATCATCTTCATTCTACTTTACAGACACTGTTTTGTACAACCTTTTATATCATTTAAACTTTCTAATAATATAAATTGGAGTTGGAGGTTGTTACTTGATGAAATCCTGGCCATGCTGCTGGGAACACTGGAAAGATGTGTAGCGAACCATAAAACAAGCAATTTATTACATTAATATATTTGTTTATTGTAAGATTGTATTATTCAAATTATTCAAGTGTTAAAACTCATTGCTAGCTGTCTAGAGGACTTCTGCAGAGCCATTCAGAACCAAGAAATCCAAGCAGAACAAGTGACGGATATTTTTTTGTGGGAAGCTGTTCCCTTCCCCTCAGGGTCTTGGTCTAATAGAAGTCAGTCCGGAGCAGTTTTAGTTTGTTTGTGTGGCAGGAAATTCTAACCTTTTGGTAAATGCATGATGAGGAAAATGCAACATGAAAACATGACTATTCTTTATGCTTAAACATCCTCATGGGTGTGGGCATATGATTACAAGCCGTTTCTTTATTCTTGGGAAAATATTCACGGTCCAACTGGTTCTGTGGGGCCCCACTGTAAGTGTAGGGGCCCCCAAGCAGCTGCTGTGTTTGGGTGAGCCTCATGTTCTATGGTATACACTGCTGTATTTGTATTGTAACCCATGATGGCAGGAAAACAGATGTTTCCTGTGTACATTGAAAAAAGGCAAACCTTCAAGATTATTTGTAACTAACATGACATATTAAAGAAATCACAGGTACAACAGAGCTGAGAGCAAAATAAAGGAAAAAAATTAAAACTACTTTTAAAAGTAACATTAAGTTAATCACAAATAGAGGAAAGTGTGAAACACTAAGCTGACCGCCTTTTTCCTTTGTTATAAGGGCAGGCGTTGGGGGTGGTGTGCATTCAGGCTGGGGCCCACCGTCTGATAATCCATCCATACATTCAGGAGCTTTCACATGCATGAGAGCTGTGTGGGTGTGGTATATAATCCCCTCTCCTTATTGGCTGACCAGGAGACTAAAGTCTAAAACAGATTTGGAGCTCCACTGGTTTCCAGAAGATGCCCTCATTCCTCTTGAGAATGACATTCCTTCCTCATATCAGGTCACAGAAAATAAAAACAAGATGTGGAGACAGACAGTATGCACACTAGGTGCCTAAACCTCAAGCTCTATTTTACACCCCTTAAGGGCACAGAGGCAGCTACAGAGCAATGAAGAAAACAAACAGACGTTTAAGTCATGAATATTAGCATTTAACATTGGTAGTTCTGTCGTGAAATGGTCCTGAAGTCAATAAACAGAGAGTAATAAACACCTTCCATGTTGTTAAACAGAGAGAGATGCTGTATTTTTATCTTCTATGATGGTAAAAAAAATGTAAAAGTGTCAAATGCGTAAAACCTGAACACATAAATGGGGCAAATCCTATCAATGCTATTCATTATCAATTATCATTTTTCTGTCATTGTTAAAATAAAACCATAAAAAATAAAACTGATAAATGGGACCCATTATTTACTGTTGCTGTACCAGCACATGTCATTATTTGCATATATTTATTTTGTATTATGTCATTTTTAAAGAAGAGGGGCCATAACACAAGTCAATAGTTCTACAATTGCCCTGGGCCCTGCAGGCCTGTCTCTAGAAACACTTCTGCACTGCAAAAACAATCTAAAAATGAGTTAAGGTTTCTTAAAATAAGTACCCTAAATTTAAGTAGGTAAATAACTGATCTGCTAATTGAGTATTTTTACCCTATAAAATAAGATACTTGATATTATGTACTTGAAATAAGAGATGGCTGTTGATTTTTCTTATTTTAAATGTAAATTGTCTTATTCCATTGGCAAAGGGTCTCACTTACCTGCTCATCCTTCCTTCATTCCCTCCATATTCTCCCACTTATTCCTTCAGGGTCATTGTTGGCCTGCCACCTGTCTTCGGCAACATTCTGAACAGAGACACTCAGACCTTTATGAAAAACACACACTTGTCTCTGCTTCTTCTTTTCCCTATATTAGGTAACTAGGGAGGAATATGTTCACAGTATACGGGCCTCCGTATCAGCCGTATGTCCACCCTGAATACGGGACTGATAACGATTCAGAACTACGGACAGTTCCAGCCTCCTCGACAGGTCCAGTTGACCTTGGCACATGAACTGGGTCACAGCCTGGGATCTCCAGTCAGTCCTCTCTTTTAACACTCAGCAACCACCTATGTACTACTCTTAAGTTTGTTTATTAAAACTATCTCTAAAATTGGATCAGGACAATTTCAATTTTAACACAGATTATACCATTATTATTGCTTTTTATGTCTGACTTCATATTAAAACATCACACCACTTCAACAC